AAATATTGTTATTGTGGGCCAGGATGTGCTTGCTAAGGGCCGCATGGTTGAGAGGCCTGTGTTAGAGTATATTGACAGGTAACATTTTAAACCATGTAGAGAACCTATTGTTTCCGTATGCCTAATCTCATCTTGTTTGAATGTGCTGTGCTAATTAAGCTACCATCTATACTGAAATAGCCTAAATTGTTGCACTACAGGAAACACGATGTGGTGATAACACGCTATACATGACCGGTTTACATTTGTTTTTACAACAAGCGACACGTGGGATTAACCATCCTTGTTCGAAATGGTATAGTGGCTTCAGAGGTGGACAGGTCTAGGTGGGACAGCGACGAGATAAAAATACAGGTAGTCAAGAGTTCAGTCCGCGCATTCCTTTGTGTTGGTGGATATTTATGCCTGCAATGCAAGAGTGGACTTTCAGAGGTGGCAGTGTTTCAGTTAAATAATATCTCACGAGAGAAATGTCATTTTCTGTAAAGATTTCAATGCTAAAGGCAGATCATGGGTGAACATTTCATCTAACGCACAGGGGAAGAAGCTCAAGGTAGTGTTTGAAACTGTATCAACAGTGGCAGTGTCACGAGGGTAGCAAGCAGACCAGGTGATAAAAACAGTGTTATTGATCTGGCCCCTTTTTCTCCTTGACTCCCTTCAGTGAATAAATCAGGTGTACTAGGGTACCTTGGCAGCGACATCACCCCTGCAGCCTAGTGGTGGAGACAGACATATCCAAGAAAACTAGTCAAAAGTCAAAACATTTATGTATGAAAGTAAAGAACAGAATGTGGTCGGTAAAATAAGACATGACAAGCGCAGGAAACATTAAGGCAAGAAAAATAGTTAGGAGCAACCCCTTTGGTGGAATTGTGAGTTCGAAAAAGCCTGGGCAGATAAGCGTGGTTCTGTGAGTAAATATCAAAATGCCAAACGCAACAGAGTCGCCCAGCCTAGTCATATATTGTGCCTGCAAAGAGACATTTACATAAAAGTCAACTCCTTAAAAAAAAAAAAAAAAACTTGTTACTGTGGTTAAAAGTGGGAAGAGGGAAAAGTTGTGTCACGGAATAAAAAGAGATAAATCACGAAAACGGTTCTGGCGATTACATAAAAGTATGAACTGTGCAAACACAAAAAAGAGCATTACTGACTTCCGGTGCTCCGACCTCGCCTGGCGGTGGTCCGACGAAAATAAGGCGCTTCTAGAACAATTTCTACAGCAGTGCAGTCAGACCGATATGACATGACACAGTTTTGCCAAAGCGATTACTTCAGACAGTTGTAGGTCACAGAATTTTACAGAAGATGAAATAGTGACAGTGACAGTAGATCAAGGCTGTGCTACGACGAACAAATAATAGTGCACCAGGTCCAGATGGTATACAAGATGATGACATTAGTGGGTGTACTGAAGATAAGCTGAAAGAGCTAACAGATGTGTACAACAATAGTATTGCAAGTGCTAGTATTAATGAGGAGTGGTCAAACAGCTATCTGATACCCCTGTCGGAACCTGACAAAGGTTAGTTGCGTATCCTTTACAGGACGTTGCAGAACCAACCCCAACAGCCCCTGGCTGTTGTGTGGTTTTTCTAGGCAAATTTACGTTCAGTAGTTTGCCATTGCCTCTGGACAGTCGGCTTTCTTGATCCCACTGTCGAAACCAAAGCAAGGCTTATGGCCCGCAGCGGGGATCGAACCCGGCATCCCGGCCTTACGAAGTGTTTACATCGACTTAGCCATAGAGCCGACTACCTGTCAAAGACCACACAAAAATTAAGGGATATAGGACGATCCCTGCAAAATACTGTAGGCATTGTGTCTGAAAAAATAATCACCAGAAAAATGTTACACCAGCTGGAGAGGCGAGGTCTTCTTCCACCTACCCTTGGAGGTCGAAAGAAAGAAACATGGACCAACGCTGCGGTTATTGCTTATGATGTGTATAAAGGCTTCCACTCAGGTATTGAAACGTGTGCTGCGGCAATTGATCTCGAGGATGCCTACAACAGAGCACCTGTAGATTTCTAAATGTTTCAGCAAAATCCAAAAACGTCTATTTTTGCCTAATTGGATATTTTCCGCTCATCTTACAACAAAAAGTAATGTTTGGATGTGGCAGTTGGACTACAGAATCAACAACAATAGACCCCGGCCTGCTACAGGGATCGCTATTGTCTCCTGTGCTGTACAACGTTTACACAATGAGAATGAGATGTAGAGGAAGGAAAGGATACAAAACGAGGCTATGCCTCTCAAGCAGAACGAACTTCTACTTCAAGAAAACACTTCTAATTATTCATCTTTTACAACTTGCTCATCATGGGTACAACAGTTTTATTATTGTTACTTCCGAGATGGATCCGCAGAACTCACAAAAGGTCTGTTTTAATTCGCAGAATATAACCTTACGGGCTCAACCATTTATATGGGTCAATTTACAAAATCGACGGTGAAGCAATCTTGACTCATGATCACTCATCTGGCAGACAAGTGTCATAATCAATACTGACCGCTCCTCCTCGTACACACCCATCAAAGCTTACATTAAGCCATACAATGAGTTATCCATTGGGAAATTCTCACCTGGAGCAGCACATCAATAGTACGGCGACAACAAGAGAACACAAGCTCACGCCGTAACCAATCGTCTGTATCAGTTTGAGTCTTTCGCTGTGTTCCTGGAAGAAATAGTAATATTTAGATTAGAGCCACATGTTCTTGGTAGTTCCTGGAAGAAATATTAATCTTTAGATTAGAGCCACATGTTCTTGACAGTTCCTGGAAGAAATAGTAATCTTCAGATTAGAGCCACATATCCTTGACAGTTTCTGGAAGAAATTGTAATCTTTAGATAAGAGCCACATGGCCTTGACAGATCCTGGAAGAAATAGTAATCTTAAGATTAGAGCCACATGTCCTTGACAGTTCCTGGAAGAAATAGTAATCTTTAGATAAGAGCCACATGTCCGTAACAGTTCCTGGAAGAAATAGTAATCTTTAAATTAGAGCCACTTATCCTTGACCGTGTCTGGAAGAAATCGTAATCTTTAGATAAGAGCCACATGTCCTTGACAGATCCTGGAAGAAAAAGTAATCTTAAGATTAGAGCCACATGTCCTTGACAGTTCCTGGAAGAAATAGTAATCTTTAGATTAGAGCCACCTGTCCTTGACAGTTCCTGGAAGAAATAGTAATCTTTATATTAGGTCCGCATGTCCTTGACAGTTCCTGGAAGAAATAGTAATCTTTGGATTAGAGCCACTTGTCCTTGACAGTTTCTGGCATCTTGTTTTGATTATTTTTTTAATTAGCGAATGTCTAGGTGAAAAAAAAAACAAAAAAAAACTCTGTCTTTATGATCTGCTATGTCAAACAAAACATAGTTACAATGACAACTGAAACGTCACACTGTCTAATATGTAGGCTCCATAATATAAAAGTGTGAGCAGTTATTATTTACAGTTCAGGGTAAGCCCCAAAATGTTATGGCTGTTTGGTTTGACAAAGTAGTTTCACGTTTCAAAGTCGAAACTGTTTACATAAATACATAGGTTAGACAGGAAATTTATGGCCTAATACCACACAGAAACAAATTATTCCTAAATGTGTAATAAAATTCAATAGTGTTATTTAAGGACAAGTACAGAAATTTATATTTTAATACTAATATTTTTATATTTATATTTTAATACAACAAAAATGAAGGACATGCATAACATCTACAAAGACACTCCCCGGAGCTGACTGTGACACTGATCACAAACTTCTTGTTGCAGAGTTTAAAATAAAACTGAAAAAGTGTTGAAAGGGGCTAAGCCAATACGTTATGATTTGAGTAATTTACCAAATGATTACAGCATTGAGTTTGGAAACAAATTTGAGGCGCTAATGGCAGTGCAGGAGGATATGACACCTTATGAGTTGACGGATGAAGCAAGAAACATCATCATCACAACAGCTCAGAACATGATTCCTAAAAAACGACACAAGAAACAGATTTACATTACAGAAAAAAACTTTCAAGCTGATAGAAGAAAGAAGAAATTTAAAGCAAGTAGGGACAGAAAGAAATCGCCATGCATATAGGAACTACACCAAAGAAATCAGAACAGCTATCAGAGGAGATAAAAAACAGTTTATTATAAATACCTGTAATAGAATTGAACAACTCCAGATGCAAGGAAGAGACAGAGACATGTTTAAAGAAATTAAAACTTTGAAATGCGAATTCAGGCCTTCTTTTCATGTTATAAGTGACAAAAACGGCAACACATTAATGGAAACCAAAGACATATTAGAAAGATGGAAAGAATACTGTAGAGAAATGTATGAGGATGTGACAAGTAATTCAAAAACGACTTGTGAAAATTATGAAAAAGACCCAGAGCCATTACTGGATGAGGTACGATCAGAAATTCACAGCCTGAAGAAAGGAAAGTCACCAGGTTGCGACGAAATACCAGCAGAACTAATTCAAGCAGAAGGAGAGGATTTCGTCCGAATCTACCATGCACTGTGCTCGAAAACTGAAACAGTGGCATTTGGCCTAAAGCCTAAAAAAGAACAGTCTATATCCCTCTCCCAAAGAAAGGAAATCTGAAACTATGCTCCAACTACCGTGCCATCGCGTTAATAAGTCATGATAGCAAAATTCTGTTACGCATTATCATGAAAAGGATGGAAAGGAAACTACAATATGAGCTTGATGAAGCACAAGCGGGTTTCAGACAGGAAAGAGGAACTAGAGATAACATCTTTAATATGAGAATAATTTTTGAAAATTGCAGAGAATACAACAAAGATCTTCATGCTTGTTTTATTGATTATAGCAAGGCATTTGATTGTGTCCAGCACCACAAACAGTGGACTATTATGAAAAGTATGGGGTTTCCAGCGCATTTAGTGCATTTAATTGAAAATCTTTTTCATGAACAATAAGCAGCCATCAGAGCAGCTGGTGAAACATCTGATTGGTTTGAGGTGCAAAAGGGGGTGACTCAGGGGTGCATTCTCTCACCATACCTATTCATTATATACTCAGAAAATATAATGAGAAATGTTACAAATGACCAGACTTGTGACAGTTATGATCCGCTCAAAATTGGTGGCAACCCTATTCCGGAACTCCGCTACGCAGATGACACAGTCCTCCTTTCGAACAGCGTAAAGGGAATCGAAAATTTAATATTGTCTGTTCAAAAGCACAGTGAAGATCAAAATCTGTCTTTGAATTTAAAGAAAACGAAAATAATGTCCACAGATAAAACTGGCTGTCACCCAAAAATAACAATAAATAATGAAGAAATTGAAAATGTCATAAACTTTGAATGTCTAGGATCTATTATAAACAGCAATGGAGACTGTTCAACAGAAATAAAAAGGAGGATGGCCTTGGCAATGCAAAGATTGAACAGCCTTAAAAGTCTATGGTTAAGCACCAGCAAGGAGATAAAAATTAGAATTTCGAGAGCGTGCATCTTCCCTGTGGCTACATACGGATGTGAGTCGTGGACTATTTCTCAGTCCTTAAGAAAGAGAATACGGGCTTTTGAGCTGAAATGCTATAGAAAGATTCTCAGAATATCTTGGACAAAGAAGAGGAGAAATATTGACATCTTAAAAGATCGGAACATCAAGGAAGATTGGCTAATAAACAGCATCCTTTCTCGGAAGCTGAAATATTTTGGTCATATCAAGCGCCACAACGGATTGGAAAAAACTATAGCAGAAGGCATGATACCAGGAAGGAGGGGCAGGGGCCGACCGACACGAAGATGGGCACAGGATATAGGTGACTCCTTGAGTATGAAAGTATATGAGGAAGGAGAACTGGCGAGAGACCGAGTTTCCTTCAGGCAGACTGTGATGAGAGCGACGTTCTGCAAAGGTCCTGCTACATGATGATGACATAAATTTAAGTATCTGGGCACATGGATAACATCAGATGGATGATGCATAACTGAAATAAGAAACATAATTGGACAGGCAAAAACTGCATTTTATAAAATGAAAAGCATCTTGTGCAATATATCCTTGTCATTGAGAGTTAGAAAAAGAATTCTTGCTTGCTACATACATCCAGTTTTAACATATGGGTGTGAATCCTGGACAATCGGTAGGCAGGCCAAACAATTTTTAGAGGCCTCAGAGATGTGGTTTTACAGAAGAATGCTTAGAATACCTTGGACAGCCAAAAATAGCATCCAAGAGGTTTTGAAAGAGGCGGGAGCCCGAAGACAACTTATCAGTCATTAGAAGGAGACAGTCATCATTTTTCGGCCATGTTATGAGAAGAGGGAAAATAGAACATGTTGTGACCACTGGAAAGATCTGTGGAAGGAGGTATAGAGGAAGACAACGAGAGAAGATGCTTGACAGTCTTGTTGCATGGCATGGAGGTGTGTCGGCACACGAACTGATACATGCAGCAGGAGATCGCAGATTATGGAGAGGCATGATCGCCCACACCAGTCGGCAAGGCATCTAATGATGATGATGAATACTACACAAATTACTGCTGTTGCCATCAAACGTACTTGAACTGAATGCAGTCCGCCTAAATGTATTATAACATTTGGAAAAATTTCGTCTGAAGCCCCTGTTAACATAAGACAACATGTGCCGTTGGAATTTATGTGACCACTTCGATATACAAACTTAATATTTGCTTACAGTTTTTTTAAAACCATGTTTATTATTAACCTAACTTATCATAATCACGATCATCATGTAGCTGGTTCTTTGCACAATTTCGCTCTCATCTCAGAACTTTACAAACCAACTTTGCTCTATTACCAAACTCCAGCCTCTTGAAAATTCAAGCTGAGGATGGCCTTGATTTTCTGTATCTACCGATTTGCTGGACAAATCTTCCCTCATGTTCCAGGAACAATACCTAAACAACTATCAACTGGTAGCCAGTATAATTTAGTTTCTCTGATATATTTTGTGGTCTAATTGTCAGCCAGCAAACCTTTAATCGTTACATAAAATGGCCTCGATGATCCCCTAAACATGTTCCTCTTTCTTTTCTTCTGTTGTCAACAACTACATTGTGCTGTTATGCAGGGCTGATTATTCAGTAGCTGAGCCATGAATGGATCTGTTGTCTTTTTATGTTGTTAAGACTCGGGTTGCCATAAAATACAACCTTCAACTGCAGAAACAAGAGCAGGTCTAGGCGTCACATTACATTAGAACATCCTTGCGTAAGGTGACCTGCCTACCGACAGGGTTTTTCCACAAATCCACGATGCTTTTCAGATGTGAAGTTCAAGTAGTAGTCTTTTAAACATCCTTAATTTATAAGTAAAATTTAATCTCTACATATAATTTACAATATATAGTTTATTTCGTTTCTTGCAGAAATAAAATTGCTACATTAATGTTCCCCCTGAAATAAGAAAATCATTTCCAGAGCGCAGACAACCTGAACGGCAGACTAAAAGTTATCTAAACCAAATGCTATTGAGGTGTCCAAATTAATCTTCGATGCAGCAAAAATCCACACATACAAAAGGTTAATTATGTCACACTGCCAATATCTGAAAATGTAATCTAACACAAACGATGACTAGGAAGCTCAACCCAGGAAAAGAAAAAGTCGTTAGAACATGTTAAATCCAGAGGGTGGACCTTATTGCACCGTGTTTTTCTTATCTTTTATGGCTTGGTCTCTCTCTCTCTCTCTCTCCGCAGAACTGATAGCTGCCTGCCAAGAGCGTCACACAAAATATTCACTCCGCAACACAGACGACGATCCTTAGGTATCTTTTTAAATATTGCACTCATAAACATAACTCAGCAGCTGTGAAACTAACCCGCGACCTTAAGATTCTAGGCAACCGGAAAGGCTAACCCGGTCAACAAATGCCTGCAGAAGTCGGATGTGTTGGCCGAAAGGTGCAAATATCGTAGCCATGCTGTAAACGGACCCAACGCAATTACATTTACGGATGAATGATGAAGAAGAAGAAGATTCTAGGCAAATGGTATGACCACCTCGTCATGGTGGACGCAGTCGAAAGTGTCAGTTACTGTATTTATTTACTAAACAACAAGGATTGTAAGCCACCAACAAACACTATGAATTAATCAAGTAACAGAAAGTGTTTTGATCGGCCCTCATAGAAAGAAGTAGAAAAATAGAAGAGCACACTAGACAACATAAAAATCGAAAGCTATAGTTACCGTACCGAAAATTGAGCCTGACACCTTTAGACGGCATCTGCGCCTCGCCATGAATTCAAGTGCACCAAGAACATGATCAACTAGGCACCCCCCAAAAATGGTGTCTTGTTGGCCATATCTATCGTACAGCTTGAAATCCACAACTATGGATTACGGACAGAATTCATTTCAAACCATTGAAATAGCACCATAGGTTACAGAAATTTTTATAACGAAGCATATGTCGAATAACAAACACAGCAACAATTTACGAACACAGTAGACCTTAATGCCTTGTCCAGAATACACAAACATTTAAGAAAGGTATTTGATTGGTTGGTTCCGGTGGGTATACGTCATTCCCATAAATAAACAGAGGGGGAACCTTTAAGGCCGTTAAATAATATGAATTAATCAAGTAACAGAAAGTGTATTGATCGGCCCTTATAGAAAGAAGTAGAAAGATAGAAGAACACACTAGACAACATAAAAATCGAAAGTTATGGTTACCGTACCGGGAATTGAACCTGTCACCTCTAGACGGCATCTGCGCGTCGCCATGGATATAAGTGCACTAAGAACATGTATTCTTACTGAAAGGAAAGGCGAACACAAAACCCCCAAAACGACAGAGACAGGTAGAGGGTTATAGAGTTAGAAAACACGAGTAAAGGAACGACAAGGGAAAAATATAAAAAAGAACTAAATAAATAAATATAAAACAAATTAGATGAGGTAGCGTCAAAAAATTGATCCCTTTAGTGCTTAGTTTGTGTGGTGCTTAGCTTACTTTAAACACCTTATTTTCATAATTTTTAATATCTAAAATAGCTGAATCAGACAGGATAATGTCGTTTCGACTAGTGAATATGTTTATATTTCCAACTTACCACATCGATTTGCATGTTTTGAGGAGCATTACAGGCAGAATAGTTGGTCCAGGATGAGTTGGTTGTGCGATTCTTGAACCATGTTCCATCTGATGTGCAGAGTCGTGTAGCGTAAGCTAACAAAAATAATAAACGTTACAATATTATTATTATTATAGTTGTTGTTGTTGTTACAGTTATTGTTGTTGTTACAGTTATTGTTTTGGTGAAAGCAGATGGACGGATACATTATACAGCCCAAAAAAATTGAAAGGTCACTCAACAATGCAATTTAAAGAAACAAATACGATACAGTTATGGATTTTACATATCATAAACGGTTTTCACTGCACAACTAACTGATAGTAACTGAAAAACAAGAAAATGATTTAATTAGCAAGAAAATCGATATTGATCATCTTACCTCTCTTTTGGAAATTCAGAATAATTAAACAAACGTTAACATGATTCAGAATCAAGTGTGTCCGCCATAAAATGAAATGCATCCATTACATCTTTGCCTCATTGATAAGACAAGAGTTACTAGAGTCCTCTATGTAAAAAAAAAAAAAAAGTGAAGTTCCCTTTTCACGCCTTTCGGCTCATTGGGCATATGGGCAGAACGTCCCATATTTTTACAGACCATCAGCACTCTGTGGGTAATGTGGTCAGCATTACGCCGGCTGTCTTTACTTTCCCAGTACAGCCCATCCTGGTACCCATTTTAGCTGGGTCGACCTGCTTTATCACTCCTGCTTCAGGAAGAGAAACAACCGATTGAGGCCGGTAGCTGGAGGATGATTTTATCTAAGTCTATGTCCTAGCACATTCGTATACATTTGATTTGAAGATATCATGAGAGTAAACTGGCAAGGCTAAGCGGATGACATGTTGCTGTTGTGGGAAGCCATTCACATACATAGCTCTATGTCGTCGAGCAGTGTCGTCCTGAAGGATAGAATCAGGACCTAGATCTTTAGGATATCATTTCTGTAGGCTAAATACTACGCACTCGATACAAGGGTGTTCTAGAAGTCTAACGAATTCGGCTCCCCTTATTACTGATGCATCGCCATAGTCTTCATTTTCAAGGATTTCGGAATCATGATAACGCTCTCATGGGCTCCTCCAGACATGATTTCTGTCATCTTTGAATGATCTGGTGAAACATGATTCATTTTTGTGAACAGAACTGTGCTCCACTGATGCATCTTTCAGTCATTGTCAGATGGTTTGGTCACTGACGATTACCATGGTGGCTGTTCTCATGGCACTAACAGTAAGTGTTTTTGTTTGTTCCACAGTACAAGAAAACATGTGTCATGATGTCTGGTCTGTCTGTCTGTCTGTCTGTCTGTCTGTCTGTCTGTCTGTCTGTCTGTCTGTCTGTCTGTCTGTCTGTCTGTCTGTCTGTCTGTCTGTCTGTCTGTCTGTCTGTCTGTCTGTCTGTCTGTCTGTCTGTCTGTCTGTCTGTCTGTCTGTCTGTCTGTCTGTCTGTCTGTCTGTCTGTCTGTCTGCCTACCTGCCTGCCTGCCTGCCTGCATGGATGGATGGATGGATGGATGGATGGATGGATGGATGGATGGATGGATGGATGGATGGATGGATGGATGGATGGATGGATGGATGGATGTATGTATGTATGTATGTATGTATGTATGTATGTATGTATGTATGTATGTATGTATGTATGTATGTATGTATGTATGTATGTATGTATGTATGTATGTATGTATGTATGTATGTATGTATGTATGTATGTATGTATGTATGTATGTATGTATGTATGTATGTATGTATGTATGTATGTATGTATGTATGTATGTATGTATGTATGTATGTATGTATGTATGTATGTATGTATGTATGTATGTATGTATGTATGTATGTATGTATGTATGTATGTATGTATGTATGTATACGTATATATATATATATATATATATATATATATATATATATATATATATATATATATATATACTGTTCATATAGATATGTATATGTATTGTACGTATGTGTGTATGTGTGTGTGGGGATGGGGTGGGGGTGTCTGGCCTATACATTTCATCATGTGCGACTGTCTTTGTATTTTCCCCTCAAAAAAAAAAAGAAGCTAGGGGCACTGCGAGATCCACTGATTAAGTCTGAACCTGGATTTATGACATGTGTTTACACTACAACGCCCACTTCTGCAGCAGCATCACCACCTATAAAAACATATCAGGCTGTCGCAAATATTATACAAATAACACTCCCACAGAAGTCTAATGTAGCTTTATATACATCTCACTTATGCACACAGTCTTCTCAATCCTGGGTGACCATGACATGTAGTGTTTACAGGGTGGAGCACCTGCTTGTAGTCAATGGCTTGTGTGTTGCAGCGTTTTATGTAGGCAGTAGAGTTGTGTACATGCAGTGATAATCTTTAACAACGACTTGAATCTGGTCCGGCGTGAGAAATGCCGCAAATGTGATAATTTGTTAAACGTGAGATTGTAAAACAGCGAGAATATCTAACAGCCGCATGAATTTACAACGACGCAAATGTGCAGAAATTTGCAATGTATTTAACAACGATGATATTTGGCAATCTTTACTCATTAGCCACATATTATTAATTGCATATTCGTACTGAGAATGCGTAACGTGTGTGAGAATCTGTCAGAGCGTGGAATTCATGCCAACGATCCTAATTTCTCAATCTGGATTAAAAACCGTCTGGTCAGACCCCAGTCATGGTACATATGTCATACGAAAAATGAAGACGAAAGTTAGGTGTGGAAGAAGACCAAAATCTGAATAATAGCAGCCATCAGAACTTTCTGCAGAAATATACAAATTGTGAACGTATGGGGCAGGAAGTGAGGGAGAAGGAAGAGCAAGAAGAAGAAACAAAAAAGAAAAACAAGAAGAAGAGGAAAAAGAAGCAGAAAAAGAAGAAGAAGAAGAAGAAGAAGAAGAAGAAGAAGAAGAAGAAGAAGAAGAAGAAGAAGAAGAAGAAGAAAAAGAAGCAGAAGAAAAAGAAGAAGAAGAAGGAAAAGAAGAAGAAAAATAAAGAGGAGTAAGAAGGGGATCTGTAAACTGGATGTACACGCACAACTCAAGTTCTGAAACAATACCAAAGTCCAGAAGTGGGTGAACAACCATGAAGTTCCGCTGGCCTTTGCAGCGGTGAATGCTATGAAAAAGAAGAGCAGATGATTTATAATAAGATATCTATACAGATGGGCCCGCACAAAGTGCAGGTAGAGATGGTGGTGCTGGAGTGCACATATGATTCTCATAGGTACTAGGGATAAGTCCGGCGTACCAACCGGAAAGTACTGCCATAACTATGATGCAGAAAGTCAATCTATCAAGATAGCAACAGAGAAACTGCTAAATACCAATCTTGGCTCACAGTATGGACAGACCAGAACAAGTCATTATCTTCCGCCTCAGAACAGGGCACAACCGATTACGTAACCTCATGTACACAAAATTAAAGATAGGTGTATCAGCCATGTGCACCTGTGGAAAGGTGCCCCAGACAGCAGAGCATGTACTCCAGGACCGCACCGAATTTGACACATTAAGGCAAACCTTTTGGCCAGAAAGAACAACAGTGGAACGTAAACTCTATGGACCACTGAATGAACTAACAACGACAGTGAAATTTATACAAGAGACAAAACTGCTGATATAGACAACTTATTTCAGGCGAACGAAAGAAGAAGAAGAAGAAAATAATAAGATAACACCACCGCCAGATTCGAATCCAAACCTAAAAGGTCTTTTTTTTTTTAAGTTACCCAACTATAAGTGGGAACAAGGCGAAGTCCTGGTGAGTAAAGCCGGTTGGTCTGATATTGACCATATCACCCACTAGGTGTCGACTGATATAGGTAAAGCACTATATGCCTAGTAAGCCTAAAGGCGTGTGAAAGGCTGCTTAACTTTTTTTCCCTTTACTTACAGCACTATGGCCACAGGGAAGTCTACGTGGCGTTGGGGGCTGTACGCCTGCCTGCGGATCAGAGGGCCATGGGTTCGCGTCCTGACGAAGCCGGACTTATTTTTAAAAAATGACCTTGACTCCCAGGTCGACGCAGCCTTTAGTGGGTATCAGGTGCAGTCCTTGGAAGCAAAGGCGGCCGGCCTGATGCAGACCACATCATCCACCAAGTGCTAATTGGTCTATAACATTAAAGATCTAGCCCTATATTCTCAATATGCCTTAAGGGGTAGAAAATGGACCTTTACTTTACTATGCTCCCAGGCTATTACTCACAATCACAACCTTACTTACAATATTGGTGTTTCCTGTGTACACAAATGCCTACACCGCCTGAATTGACGGCTTTTCCTGGCAGCGCAGGACAGGGAAGTCTTGAATATGGGGTTTTATGACATGACCCAGAGCTCGTGTAGTCCCCGGAAACTGAATTTATGATTTGTATCAATGCCAAGAAAGCATACACATATTCATCACCTTTCCAAGGATTTGAACACCGTCTTTCGAAAAAGAGCTTAGCATTCTAAACGCCCAGCCAGACTCACTTTACTCCGCAACCTTCGCTATGTCTACTTGTTTACTTCTGTATTTTAAAGTATTGATGTTCATAATCAATACACGGAAATTATATTCAGTCAAGCCAGACATAGCCCGCTAGCATTACTGATACATTAATGAACCTACAAAATAGTAATCCAGCCGCCCCATTCCTTCGTACCCTCCAGTATCATTATTTTCCTACGAGACCTACAATACACATCAAAAAGTCTAGTAATACAAGTATGCATCTACAATGTCGGATGAGTTTTCTATAAAAAGCAACTGGGAAAAATGAGGAAAGGAGCCGCTATGGCTGCTAGATATGATTGATATTCTTAGAGCGTGAACTTAACCAAGAGAGTGCTAAAGGGGAAAAAATATCGGAAATGGTGGCAGCTGGATTAAGAAAGATACACCGAGTAGGAACATTTTGAGAACAGGATCCGTAGTGTAAAAAATTCAATGGTTTATATATTTACACACATTTTTTTTTTGGGGGGGGGGGGGGGGGGGGGGGGGGGGGGGGTTATTTTAGGAGGGGAAAATAGCTTTGTCCACTACAATATGAAAACCGATCATTGTGAAATGTACAGACTG